TAGATTTGGTTGCGAATATTTTCATAGTCATCAAATGGAAGAAAATTCTCTTCATAATTGCATAGTTCTGATCAAATTTGGTTAACCACTCGACAAACCAAGCAGTGTGTTCTGTTTCCATAGGATTTTTGATTTTTCAATAATCCACCTGTGTTCCACCGACTTTTTCTACCATAACACTTCTCTTTAAGAGTCATTGTTGTTCTGGTAGGCATCGACAGAAGAGCCCTACGAAGTCTTGTGTAACAGAGATCCATATTGTTAGGCCCATTGAACCTTGTGAGATTACGAAATCAAATTTTCCGAAAAAGTCAAACACGGCGGTAGTTCAGCGAAATCATAACAAAGCGTATTTTTGTTTTTTTTTTTTAATCCGTGATTAACTCGTAAAATTGTGACTTAACTGCGAGCCATCCGAAGACGAGCTGACACAAGAAATTTGTTTACCACAATGGACGGCGGTCATTTGTTTTGTAAAAGTTGACAGCGTGCACTTTAACCCTAGCTGTTCTAGCGTGACCATATGGTCACACTCACAATACAATCATCTGAAATACCTGTATCCGAGCAGTGCTAGTGTGAACATACGGCCACAGCCCAAAAATTGATCCTGTCGATTATCCTGATAAGAAAAAAGGATATAAATCAAATTTTTGGATTCAGTGACCCTTAAACGTTAGGACCGAATAAACAGTTCGGTATAAGATAAACATTTTTTATGATTTTTTTAAGTGAAATGTTTGATTTAATCTTTGTTATGAACTCGACTGTATATTAAATATTTTATATATAAAAATCATGTTCTAATAATTCTTTATTTTTTAATTCTCATCGAAGAAATTAGCGAGTGTTATTTGAAAATTTTCATTTAAAATAATTTCCAAATTTTATTTTATTTAAAACCACAATACATTGTGAAGAGGATAGGGCAAACAAATAATTTTAGAAGCCTTAATTGTTTTTTTTATTATTCTTATATAATCATTTTATACAATACAAATATACTGTTTTTTTTTTTATTTTCTAATGTTTTTGTCTTTTACATTTTTTTTTCAAAAGAATACATACTTAATGTTAAAACACCTAACCGAAAATTTGTTTTGTATTTTTGTAATACTTCTTTGTGTTCATCATCATCGTCATCATTTTTGCCTATTTAAATTAACATTAAAACTTAAACTAAGAGAAATAAAAACAAAAACACATTCTACAAAAATTAAAAAAATATCATCATTTGTGTGTGCCCTTCATACGAAGAATTTTCTTTGAGTGTAGAAAATAATTGATGAAACGCTTGTTTGGTAATTTTTTTATTATTTGAAAAGCCTTTTTTCATTCAAACACTACATATTCGATTTGTTACAAATGGAATAAACACATTTTAATTCTAACTATGTATAAGTAATGATTTCTTCATTTCAAAGTCCTTGGGTAGAATATATTTTCATCAGGATGTAAAAAGTTTAAAAAATGTGAAAGTCTGGACAATAGCAGATATCGAAACAAAGTAAAAACTGGAAAATTCATGATTTATGGTAAACTGCGAAACAGTGGCCATTAGAGGCACACGGAAGGATATACACTAAAGCTCACTTAATCGCAACACATCAATAATGAAATATAAACTTTCGGAATAATCCAGTATATGGAATTTTGGAGCAATATCGCTTCAAATTATCGTAAAGATACTGGTAAAAATACTTTATTTTCATACGATTTGACCGTTGGAGTGTTTTAAGATAAGAGTCTAAAATTCCAAATACATCATTTGTAAAATATTTGTTATTAAGATTTTATTTTTTAGTTGGCTACCTTGACTCTCTCGCCCTTTGTCGAGAAAGTACCACCACTGTTTACAATGGGTGATGTAGCAAGTTTTGTCCGTAGCGCTAAGTCATCGAATATTGATGATAATGCTGCTAAAACCGGGATAAGCCATGAGTTGAGTATTTGAAGTCCTCAATTTATCTATAGTCACATGCATCGTTCCTGAAGCCTAGACAATGGGCAGGGTGTTCCCGCTACTGAAGCCAAGCAAGGATACCAGCAAAGATGATCTCACTTTTGTTACCAGTATCTTCACGCATATAGGTCGAAGACTAAACAAGAATCAGCCGTGCCATATACAAGTGTTGGTAGTTCCTTTAGTATCGTCATTAAAGCTACACTGTTGAAGTCATCGATACTACTTCCCACCGACCAAGTTTGAAACATTGGATAATCAATTATATGTGTGAACGTCAGTCGTACGTGAAGTTTCGGAATAAGAAGTGTAAAACCCGTAAAATGAAGCAAGGAGTTCCCCAGGGTGGTGGTGATATCTCCGGAACTGTTTAACCGCCGCCTTTCCGGTATTGACGCCCCAAATAAAAATTTGAGATCGTTACGTATGCAAATGATTGTACGACCATTGCGTCGGGTCAATGAGGACATATCGCTCAATTGTTATAAGACATAAATCAAAAATCTTGATTTTCGGATGAGTATATCTTACACACTCTGATTATGAGGCTGTAGAAGTTTCTCTGTTCCTTGTATGTGAAAGGTTGAACACCTATCTCGCCGATTTAGCAGCCTCTTCCCACGTAAAAGATAAGAAAATATCCAACACGAAATGTTCACATTGTTCACCACATAAACCGCAAAAATGGAAATACCATTAAATGTGAAGGCCGAAGGGCAATTTACACAAAATTCTCGGCTTCATACTATGTTCATCTGCGGTAATTTGAAAAGTAGGAACAAGGGCATATCATATGGTACATAAAACTCCCCCCACTCAGGCGTGTCAGGAAGGATCTGCATGATCTAGAGAGAGATAGAGAAAGGTGTCCAATGTTACAAATAGGAACCTTTCGATCAAAATGCCTATTGAGCAGGTCTAAATAGCATTCAGGGAGGAGAGGGAATGCCGTCCTCGGAGCTCATCGCCAAACCATCGCTGCTTAAGAGCGTCAGCTGCCTACACAAATCAGAGTAGTTTTGGTCCTATTGCGTACAGGATGGTGTTGTCGCCTAAATTCGTATATGGATTGATGACAACGCGCAGGATATCTGCCCTGCATATGCCATAGGCCCGCACACATGTGGTACAGGCCTCCATTCAATTGCCCTGCAGGAAAATCTGTTGCGGCAGCCAGTGGAAGTAGCTTAAATACAATTTCAGAACCTGTATGAATCAGAGAACAGAACGTTTACGTATCGTATATATATTTGCCCAGACTGTGCACACACCGCCTTTCATGTGGTGGGTGGCTTAATAAAAATGCTCACAGGCGTGACAAAAATGCAGGGGGCATCCACTGATCCAACATGTATGACATACTTTTAAGTCGAAGGTAATATTTGAGTTGTGCCCACTCTAGAATAGGTCTACTGATGGACAGCAACTCATCACCTAGACCACGTTTGTCCTCTTAAGTACCTCTTTCGACGACACTTAACCATAAGTTATGAGCTAGTCAACCATTACAGTACTTTCCGAAGGATTTGTAAATTTAGAAAGCTACTTCGGATATAGAAATATCCAAACTATTGCGTGGCATTTATTTGGTTACTTTAACAAAGCATGGATCCATACTGACAGTATGAAACAATATGTTTGAAGGTCTAACCTGAGCACTCGTAGCACTCCATTTGAGAAAGTCCGACCAAGGACGTCAACAGATGTTGGGTCGAACTTTTCATACCTTCTATCAAATAATGTAAGAGCCTTTAAAAATAACTGGACTTATATTAACATTTTCTGCCTTACGAAAATAAATGGATATTGTGCCAAAACATATATACTATATGTAGAATCTAAATTAATATACAAGAGTCACTTCGACTGGAAATGCGGATAAAATATTTAAAACAGCCCAAATAATATGAGTCCATATTCTGGAGGCCATATCAATACATGGACCAATATAGAGCATGGAAGAATCTTCTATGAGGTTCCTTATTCTCCTAGCACACAATTTACGTTCACTCCGATTGAGGCTAGGGTTTTCATTAAATGAAGGTTCAGTGGGGATTAGATTTTCAATAAAAATCCACATTTCTTTATAAAGACCAATTGGTCTATATGGATAGCATAGGTATTTTTAATAGATTTTCAAAGGCTACAAATGGGCATTCTAAAGCGGAAAATAGGTTCAAGACTTTTCTTTCTATCTCTTCATCCTAGTTCTATCAATGACAGATAACACTATCGAAAATTTCAAATTTTTTTAAAATTAAATTGTATTTAAGCCATTCTTGTTTTAATATTTCGAACTTATGATAAAATATCGAAGTAACTTAAAATTGCATCTTTATAATATATATACCATATATAGCATTTTGTGTGTGTTTTTGTATGTGGTTGTGTGTTCATCTTCATAAATATATAAGTATATAATTTCTTTTTTTTTTTTTTGTCATAATATCATGATATATATTTTGCTGTTTTTATTTTAGTTTTTGTTTTCATATATATATCCTTGTTGTTTTAATTTCTCCTTAACTGTGTTTTTCTTATAGCTTTTCAATATTTTATTTTTTATTATTTAAATTAATTTTTTACATACAATTAATATTATACAGGATATAAGCAAATGTCCTGTTTTGTTGTTTTGGTTTTTTTCTTTTTGCCTCTTTGTGTCTCTCTGGTGTTAATATTCTTATTTGTTTAGCTTTCCTAAATTATTCTTTCTTTGCGTTTTTGCTTGTTTTTCGAAAATCCATATCATTTTTAAAATTATTTTCCTCTTTCCTTTGTTTGTTTGACTATGATCGGTATGTGGGAGTGTGTGTTTTCGTGTTCGGTATGCAATTTACTTAAATTTATGTATATAATATTTTACTTATATATAATTATATATTTTTTTCTAGCATGTTTTGGTTTTGTTATTTTCCTCTATTAATTTGTGTGTGTCTCAGTTTTTGTTGTTGTTGTTGTTGTTTTTTTTTTTTTTTTCTTTGAAATTCTGTAAAGATTGTGGCTTTTTCTAGTGCCATTTAAGCTGACCTATCTGACGATCCGTTGGAATTTACTCATTTAATTTATGCCATTCGGCAATTTGTCTTCGTGGCGAATTGCACACTTCATTCCAGTGATTTAAGGCTGTGCCATTTGAGTTGGGTCCACCCAATTCAAGTCGTCCAATAACCTAGAAAGAAAATAGAAAATTTTTAATTGGATTTTTCAATTCAAAGAATAGAACCACTTTCTATTACAGAAAATTTTCGATAAGCCTTCGAAGGGTTGGAAACTTTATGTGGAGGTTTTAAAAACAAAATTTAAGGTTTTTTAGGGCGGAATATCTTTTTCAGATCTCCGATGGACAGAAAAGCTTTATATTATTTTAAGGACCATTTTTCCAAATTTTAATCTGGCCTGGATTTTGGTAAAACATTCTTCCGATACTGTTACGACAGAAAACATTCCTCATGCCTATAACTCCAGATATTCTAAGGTTGAAATATCTGTATTTGTACTCTTCACCACACTGTGGGACAGGGTATTATGTCTTTGTGCATATGGTTATAACAGGCAAAAGGAAAAGAGATAGACACATGGTTCCTTTTGAGAATATGCATAGAATCACTTTCTGCGCCGATTTATGTCCGTATGTCCGTCCGTCCGTCTGTAGATGTTAAATTGTAAACAAAGTACAGGTCGCATTTATGATCCGATTTGGATGAAATTTGGCATAGGTTACTTATTTGGCCCAAGGACGAACCCTATTGAAATTGGGAAAAATCCGTTCAGATTTAGATATAGCTCCCATATATAGTTTCGTCCGATTTAAGGTAAATGGTGCACCAAAGTCCCTAGATATCATTCGATTTGCACGAAATTTGGCATATATTACTGAATTAGGTCCATAATGATGTGTGTCAAGTTTCGAGAAAATCGGTACAGATTTAGATATAGCTCCCACATATAGTTTCGTACGATTTAAGGTAAATGGTACACCAAAGTCCCTATATATCATTCGATTTGCACGAAATTTGGAATAGAGTACTGAATTATGTCTAGAATGATGTGTGCTAAGTTTCGAAAAAATCGGTCCAGATTTAGATATAGCTCCCATATATAGTTTCGTCCGATTTAAGGTAAATGGTACACCAAAGTTCCTAGATATCATTCGATTTGCACAACATTTTGCATAAAGTACTGAATTAGGTCAAGAATGGCGTGTGCTAAGTTTCGAGAAAATCGGTTCAGATTTAGATATAGCTCCCATATGTATGTTCGACAGATTTCATGTAAATTGTGTATATATCTTCCGATTTGTACAAAATTTGGCATAGCGCACTGAATTGCCACACAATTCTGCACAACGTACTAAAGTTTGTGTAAAATAACATGTGTCAAGTTTTGCTGAACACAGTTCGGATTTAGATATAGCTCCCATAAATATTTGCTTCCGATTAAAAAAAACTGGAGCACCACAGACTCAAAGTTGGGCCGATTGACATCTTTTTAATACACCCATAGTGGTTAAGGGTATCATATAGTCGGGCCCGTCCGACTTTACTACTTTCCTTACTGGTTTTGAAAATAAATCTTTGTCTGCAGGACATCGTTAGATTGAAAAGAGCATTTTCAGACCTTCTACAGGCCTAAACCCATCTTGGTTTCCTGTAAATATACAATACGCAGGCCTTCTCAGAAAAAACCTTCCTCATGCAAAACGTCATATCCAGGCATTCTATGACGTTGTCCCGTTTTTTCCTGATCCTGAAACCCTTCTCCGAGTAATATGGCCACCAAAATTCCAACTTACCTCATTTTTGGTTACACGATCCCAGTCTAACAGCATCAATTCAAGTGACACTCCCTCCAAAGTCGCTCCAGTTCCCTGAAAAATACAAAAAAATATTCATTTTGATTTCCTCCTCATCCCACACCCTCCCAAACTCACCTCAGCTGCTGGGATATCAAAAGCAAAACTCTCATTGAAAACAGGACTCAGTGTACGTTTCTTGACGTGTGTCTTCTTCTTAGCGATACGCTGACCATTATACAACAAATAGATTTTCACATAAGGATCAGCCAGACCGGTCACATCCATACGTGGTAAATTACGTGCCTTCAATAGAACGACAGTCAAACGTCCAGCAGCCGGTTGCCAACAGAGTGAAATCAAAAGTTCGCCACGACCCTGTGCCCTTATCTTCAAGCTACGTGGTTGAATTTCCTTGCTGATCGATAAAGCCTCCTTGGAAATGTCACCGATTTCAATGCTCGACAATGGACAGACAACCTCACCAATGACATCATCACGCGAATAGCGATCAAAACTCAGGATCACGAAATGCAATGACATATTCTGTAAATCGTTAATGTTCAGACCGTAGAAAGTGAAATCTTCATCGTAGACGGGGTTACGGGTATTGCGGACAACACGGGTCTTAACCTTGTGCTGTTTGTCGGGCAACAGTTGTAACTTGACATAGGGATCGGTTGCTGCCTGGGTGCGTCCATTCATACCGGACGGAATGTCGCCACCATTGTTACTTGTCGAAGGGTTGTTTGAATTGCTACCACTGCTCTTGGAGGGTAGACCACGGCAACGTATAATCGACACCATTAGGGCATTTCGTTCAGCCAAATAACGTAATTTGAAAAAGATCGAACCCAACTTGCCGTATTGTTCCAAATGGAGATCATTGCTGGCGTTACTGATCATAGACTCTTGCATTGCCCCCATTTGACTAGATCTGCCACTGGCGGCGCCACCATTGCTGCTAGCACCATTACCAGTTGGACTTTTGGCTTCGACGGGTGAATGTTTCTCGCTGCCGGCATTATATTTTGCTGCTTTGGGTTTAATTTCATCCTCTTCCATATATTTGACAGTTTGTGGTGATATCGGCGATGAGGCATTTTGATCGGGCATTGCCTGTAGGATACCCAATTGTTTGGTACCCGTTGGTGATGGTGATTTCTTTAGATAATGTGGTGGCTGTCCACTAGGCGAACGAACAGCTGTCGGACGTCGTGTCGGTTGAAAGGGAAAAGTGGCATCGTGTTGATTTTGTTTGCGATTACGGGCACGCATTTGTCGGGCGCATATACAGGCCACTGCCCAAAGGGCTCCGGCTGACACAAGGCCCAGGATAGCAGGAAGTACTGGAAATGAAAAGGGGGAAAAATATATAATGCATATTAACGACAGAACAGTTTGAAAAAAGTTTACATTTTAATTATATAAAGTAAAAAAAGGAAAATGTACTAGTTTTTAAGGCCACTCCAAAAATTGTTTCCTAGATTCAAAAAATAGACATTTTCAAATCAAGATGATTGTAATTTTGCACTACACATTCTTTGGGGGTAAACAAATTCTTCGCAAAATGATGTCATTAATGGTACATATTTATTGTATTTATTGTATATGAAGATTTATTGTATTGTATAGATTTGTCCGATTTTAGGTATTTTGGTATATATTTGGAGAATTTTCCAACTGTCATTTGGATTCCGAGTTCTTGATGTATTAACAGAATTCTTCAAACTAAGTGTCTGTTTATTTTCGTAGAGAATAAACAACTTCTGGTCGATGTTAGGGTATAAAAGCGGTCTACTTCCCCCACAATGTAATTTAGTTATTAAATATATTTTATCCGCCATTAAATGTCAATGGCTTCGCATATATATACGTTTGAAATAGTCATAAACTGTAACTAGAGACTGTTTATATTAACTATGCTGCTAAAAATTGCGTGAGTGTTTACTATTGGGATTTTATTACAAAAATATGCGCCAACTAATGTTGACATTTAAATGAAATATTTGGATAGGAAATATTGGCATCAATTTCGAATTTACTGCTATTTTCGTGAGAAAAGTCGGAGAATGTTGCCAGAATTTTTGAGCATGAAAAGGTTACATACCTGGAATAATAAATTTGATTTAATGTTACTTGAACTAGTTTTAACTTTTGGTATTCTCAATCACACCCTGGGGAGAACTCAATAAGAGTGTCCCTATGGAGACCGACCAAATAACGAATTTAAAAGGCCAGAATATTTTTAACAAATATGCCAACAAACAAAATAAAATCGTTTTTAGTATATTGTGCAACAAGGGGCATGTGTATTACAAAATTTAGAAGAAATACGCCATTCACGTGCTCAATGTGAATCCAAAACGTAAAATTACAGCCAATTTGCTTGAAACACCTGCCCTAACTCCCAAAAGTATCGAAATTTGGAATGTAGCGGCATATAGGGACTACACTAACATGTGGGCTAATACTGTAAATTTTTAGTAAGAAGGTCTTCTACCAGGTTGAAAATGTTGCCCAAATTCTTCAAAATAATAAAGTCAGACGGGCCGAATATAAGATACCCTTCAGCACTATTCCAATATGTCTAAAACTGCGAATTTTTGCGTTTTTCATGATATATCAGTACATTGTAGGGAACTTCAGAATAAAAAACAATAAAATTTTCGATATTTGGTTTGCTGAAAGAAACAAAAGCAAAGAAACATACTGTTGTTTACAACGTCCCCACAAATAAAGTTGGCAATAACAGCAATATGGACGAAAAATACGTCAAATTAAACCAGTAAGGAAAGTAGTAAAGTCGGACGGGGCCGACTATATGATACCCTTCACCACTTTGAGTATATTCAACAGATGAATCCTAACAGAAGTCGCATTTTTAAAGGACCAGTAAAATGAAATTGGAACCATAAACACGTCATTCTGCAACCGATACTAAATTGTTCATTTGGTCAGATATAGAAGCTATATCTAAATCTGAACCGATTTCAGGCAACTTTACACACATCATTCTAGACCTAATTTGCTACGCTGTGCCAAATTTCGTGCTTAAATCGACTCAAAAAGTGATTCTATGCATATTCTCAAAAGGAGCCATGGGTCTATCTCGATTATTTTTGCATGTTACAAAAATATGCACAAAAACATAATACCCTGTACCAGAAAAAAGAATTTGGTTCAAGAACCTCAAAACCTGGGGGCTACCAGAAAAAATTGACCAATATTTATAATTTATAGTGGAGAGATGTGCTACCTAATAAGAACTCGACGTACTAAATTACAGTCAATTTGGTCGAAAAATCCGATCAGAACCCCCAAAATACCAAAAATTTTGGGGTACCGTTATATGGGTACTACCAGAAAAACTGGACCTATATTTATAATTTTTAGTGGAGTAATTTGGTACCCAATAAGAACCCAATGTACAAAATTTCAGCGAATTTAGTTATAAAACGAGCCCAAAAACCCGAAAATACCGAAAATTGGGGGTGCCCTAATATGGGGGCTTTCCGAAAAAATGGACCTTTATTTATAATGTTTGGTAGGGAGATTTGCTACCCAATAAGAACACAAAGTACCAAATTTCGGTGAATTCGGTCGAAAAATGCGATCAAAACCCCCAAAATACCGAAAATTGGGGGTAATCTTATATGGGGGCTATCCGAAAAAATGGACCTTTATTTATAATTTTTGGTAGGGAGATTTGCTACCCAATAAGAACTCAATGTACAAAATTTCAGCGAATTCAGTTAAAAAACGCGCTCAAGAACCTCAAAATACCGAAAATTTGGGGGTACCCTTATATGGGGGCTATGCGAAAAAATGGACCGTTATTTATAGTTTTTGGTAGGGAGATTTGCTACCCAATAAGAACACAAAGTACCAAATTTCAGCGAATTCGGTCGGAAAATGCGATCAAAACCCCCAAAATACCGAAAATTGGGGGTAATCTTATATGGGGGCTATCCGAAAAAATGGACCTTTATTTATAATTTTTGGTAGAGAGATTTGCTACCCAATAAGAACTCAAAGTACCAAATTTCAAGGAATTCAGTTAAAAAACGCGCTCAAGAACCTCAAAATACCGAAAATTTTGGGGTACCCTTATATGGGAGCTATGCCTAAACGTGGACCGATTTTCTCCAATTTCAATAGGGTTCGTCCTTGGGCCAATTAAGTGACCTGTGCCAAATTTCATCCAAATCGGATCATAAATGCGACCTGTACTTTGTTAACAAAAATACATGGACGGACGGACGGACGGACAGACAGACGGACATGCATAAATCGACTCAGAAAGTGATTCTATGCATATTCTCAAAAGGAACCATGGGTCTATCTCGATTATTTTTGCCTGTTACAAACATATGCACAAAGACATAATACCCTGTACCACAGTGTGGTGAAGGGTATAAAAAGGAAATTAGGTTATTTTGCATGCATTTATCAAGATGGGTCAAATGTCATAAGAATATAGAACTTTTCCGTGAAAAAATACACTCGAATTTTTATTACAAAATAAATAACATGACTCGTAAACCGCAAATAGGTTGTCGAAGGAAAGATTATGAGAAAAAATCTAAAAAGTGGAGAAGAGGAAATAGCGGGCTTAAGTTCCCCTTAGAATATAAACCATCAAAAATTTACTTTTTTCAGCATTGATTAAAAATAAAAAAGTGACAAATGAAAAAAATGTTGTTTCTTATATCTAGTGTTTACTATAATTGTGTTCGCCTGTAATAAGCATGACTTTATCACACTTTTATATATTAACAACTTTAAAGAGTAAAAATGGGTACTGAATTAATTGTTATTAAAGCATTCTGCAAAAACGTACAACATTGTAATAATTATTCCTTTAAAAATCTAATCGCGGGATCGAAATTTTTTTAACTTACTACTCTAATCGTTTTCAACCGTTTGTTGTGTTTAAGAGAACTAATAAAAATATCTGAGAAAGAATTAGCTTTGTTCTTGCTTATAACCGTTGTTCGTTATATCCGGTTTCTACTGTGGAAATCTGCGTATTCTCTTTCTTGTACATATAAATCATTTAAAAAGTCAAAAAATCGTTTAACACCGCTGTTATTAATTTTTGCCTTAAAAACAGGGCAAATTACCTATAGGGCATTGTACGAAATTGTGTGTCAATCGGACAAATCGGAAGATAATATATATCTAAATCTGAACCGATTTTCGCGAAACTTAACACACATCCTTCTAGACTTAATTCAGTACGCTATGCCAAATTTCGAGCAAATCGAAAGATATATAGGAACTTTGGTGCACCATTTACATTAAATCGGATGAAAGTATAATTGGAGCTATATCTAAATCTGAACCGATTTTCACACATCATTCTAGACTTAATTCAGTACACCAAGCCAAAGCCATTTACATTAAATCGGTCGAAAATATATATGTGCGCTATATCTAAATCTGAACCGATTTTCACGATATTAACCATACATCATTCTAGACTCAATTCAGTACGCTTTGCCAAATTTCGTGCAAATCGAAAAATATATAGGGACTTTGATACACTATTTACATTATATAGGTTTTCTCAATTTCAATAGGTCCAAATAAATGACCTGTGCCAAATTTCATCCTATTCGGATAATAAATGCGACCTGTACTTTGTTTACAATTTAACATGGACAGACGGACGGACATGCATAAATCGACCCCGAAAGTGATTCTTCGTTTCCTTTTGCCTGTTATAAACATATGCTCAAAGACACAGGGTGGTGAAGCGTATAAAAATGGCAGTCCACATTACCCGAAGTTCCTCTACATATGTGGGGATTATATAAAAAGTAGGACCTATATAAACATTTTTCTGCAAAAATGTGTTTTACCGTCCCATAACCTGAAATGCCAAAATGGCTAAAATCTTCAAAAACTAACAATGGGGCTACTATTCTATGGGGTCTATCTCAAAACATGGTCATATATTGATAATTTTCTGCATATATGTAATGTTGGAACATAAGTCTAGCGGCTTCAAAACTATACCAAAACGTAAACCGATATAGATAATTTTTTGTAGAACGATTTGACAAACTGAAAAATCAAATTAGAGCCAATTTTGTTGAAAAATGTGTCCAAACCCCCAAATTATCAAATATTTGATAATTTTTGGTAGGAAGGGTTTCTACTCAACGAGAATTCAAAAATTTAATTACAATTTGCTTCAAACACCTGTCTAAACTCCCAAAAGTAGCGAAATTTGGAATGTAGCGTCATATCGGGTCTACACAAAAAGTGAACAAATATTGATAACATTTAGTAAGAAGATATTCTACCCAGTGAGAACCCAAAATATGCCTTTACTCTTAATAATTTTAATAAATTAGAGATACTAGTCCCTAAAACGAACCAATTCTTTTGAAAACCTAGACAAAAAGCTTTAAAATACCGGATGAACATTGTTTACGCGGTGAGATCCCAAAATACGAAATTATATCTGATCCGTTTAAAAAAGTGACCAATAGCTTCAAAATACCGAATATTGGAAATCCCATCATATAATTAAAGGCCTTATGACCCCATTTTGGCATTTAATGACGGTTTGGTAAAAATATCACGATTGGCATTCAATGGATCAAATCGAATACTCCATTCGTTTTACATGCAATTTACACGTTTTCAAAATATTGGCCCTTTGTTGGGAAGATTTCAGAAGAAGAGGGAAAATGGGTTTTATTTTACGCCATGATCTCGGTTGGGTAAAATATTATGTCTTTGCGCATATGTTTGTAACAGGCAAAAGGAGTCGAGATAGACCTATTGTCCATTTTGAGAATATACATAGAATCACTTTCTGAGTTGATTTATGCATGTCCGTTTGTCCGTCCGTCTGTCTGTCCGTCCATGTAGTTTTGTGAACAAAGTACATGTCGCATTTATGATCCGATTTGGATGAAATTTGGCACATGTCACTTATTTTACCGAAGGACTGACCCTTTTGGAATTGGAAAAATCGGTTCAGATTTAGATATAGATTCCAATATTGTTACGATTGAGACAAATTGTTTCCACAGCAAACTGAGTTAGGTCCAGATTGATGTATGTGTAGTTTTGTTGGAATCGGTTCAGATTTAGATATAGCTCTCATATATAGTTTCCTCCGATTTTATGTAAATGGAGCCCCATACTGTGAATGTTTCTCCGATTGAGACAAAATTTTGTACAGCGTCCTGAAATTACTGCAAGTTGACGTCCGCGAAATTTTGTTGAAATCGATTCAGATTTAGGTATAGCAGCGTCCTGAAACTACTGCAAGTTGACGTCCGCGAAATTTTGTTGAAATCGATTCAGATTTAGGTATAGCTCCCATATATTTTTTCATCCGATTTAAAGCATGTGGAGAACCATGCTGCCAATATTTGTCCGATTTAGACAGCTTCAAAGTTTTGTTGGAAGCGGTTCAGATTTAGATATAGCTCCCATTCTCTTGCTTGTTTTTCGAATTTCTCCGAACAACACATAGTGGTACATCAAACCCTACTGTCTGACGGTAACAGTAGTAGTAGTAGCCCTAGTATGAATTGAAGAACACGTCTGAAGAAAATTTTACATAATGTTATTTACATAAAATTTAAAAATGTACATTGGTGTAATCGATTACACTTTTTGAACAAACCTCATATTTACTAAAAATCTAGAGAAATCAATCTAATTCATAAACCTGCTAAAGTTATAATTCATATGCGATCTATCATATAAATTTCTTATATATACATCATAAAGTATTCCTTATACGAATAACAATAAATCTGTCAAGGGAGTCTTTACTGGGAAGGAGTTTGGGGTTTTATGTTGTTCGCAGAAATTGTTGCTAAAAATAAACGGTAGGTATAAAAATAGGAGCACATACATATAAATATACATATTTGTATTTCAGCTGACTCATAGAAAATTGTGCATTTGTATAATTATTTTTTAAATTAATTATGTATTAGCATGTAATAATAAATTAAACAAAAAAATAAGAAATATTTTATTAAGGAAAATAAAAATATTAAAACAATGGTAGTACTTTTTTATGATGTAGGAGAATTGGTGTCAAAAGGTACGACGACAAAGAAAAAACTCCATACGACGAAATAGAAATCAAAACAACCCCCAACCCAAATAGCAGCAAAAACCAAGTTAAAATAAAAACCTCATCCCTCTTCACACACAATTCTCGTATCACGTAGAATACGGCAAAAAAGGAAAAAATTGCAATCAACAACAGTAAGCAAATGAAAAAACGGTATACACTTTCAATATATCGGTAACTTTAGGATTATTTTTTAAATTAAATTATAAAATAAATAGGAAAAAAATCATTATTAGCATTTTTTTAAATTAATTATTTTATAAACATAATTTGTTATACTTACTTGTTGTCATAGCGCTTATATCGGGATTGTTGGAATATTCGTCACCCATTTTGAGATGATTTTCTTTATTCTTTTATTTGTTTATTTTTCTTCCTTTATTTGTTAGCGTTTTCTTTCAGTCAGTTGCGTTGCGAAAAACTGTTGTAAATATTGTTAATTTTTATTATCGGTAAATTTTTTTCAATGTTTCCTCTATTCACAGGAAAATAAAGTTACCGTTGCCGAAAAAAAGCTTTATCTAAATGGTAACACAATAAAAAGAAGAAGAAGAAGCATAAGATGAAAATAACAGCCTCAAAATTTTGCCAATAAAAGCAACTTCGTATTTTACTATTATTCTTTTTCTCTCTTATTCACTACTTCCATACACATTTGCTAAATGCCTAAAAGTATGCTAAGGTTTGTTCATTCACATCCACTTGTAGCGGTAAAGCTTTTGTCAGAACCGTACACTATAGCCATCTCTTTCATATTTTCACTCTCAACACCAAACACACACTTGACTCACTTCCCCTGGCAAAATACTGTTATTGGAAATTTATTGTTGTTGTTCGTTTCGTTTTTTTGGTTCTTGACTGCGGGGGAGGGTTCATAGCACAGAAATACTTTTTTTGTCTTTGACACCACACCACACGACACATAAATGACTTTGAAAGGATTTCAACATTTCGTTTTATTTCGTTTAATCACGTTTCGTTTTTATCATTGTTTCGTTACTTGTTTGTGTTGTTTTTTTGTCGTTTTCTCCAGTTCCCCCATTTGAAATTTGTCATTTTTTTTTGTTTTGTTACAGAGTAGAAGGTAGTATAACTCTGAATTGTTGTGCTAGTTGTTACCGTGTAATGGAAAATAAATGTGACAATGTCAAACTTTTTTTTTGGGGTAAAGTACGTCATTGAAACTATGGCATGAGATGGCTACATAATTGTTACGCAGGATTTTATTATTCGGAGACAAAGATTATTATTTTATGGATCGTAATAGAGTCATGAGATGCATATGTTTGTCCGAAATTTTGCGGTCTACCATTTTTATTCTTTCTGCCTTAAGATGTAAACCTGATAATATTCATCTGATACCCTATAAGGTCAACATAAAATTCTACGTCGTCCGTCAGTCACGAGAAGACTAATATAGTCCTATATTTCGACATAACGGAGGGTTGGCTAAAGGTCCTATTACCGATTTCATGACCAAAATGACTAGAATTTGCGGTTTACGGAGGAAAAAATACCTTCCTAGAATTACCACTTAAAAAATTTGGTTAATGGAAAAGTTGGCTTTTAAACCCAAGTGATGTGTTACCACTAGGAATTTTTAACATGCTCCACAAAAAGTCGTTCTCCTAAAAAAGTCGCACAGAAAAATAAAAAGAATAAAAAGGAAAATACAATGTAACAAAAGCAGGGTAGAAAAGTAGCACAAAGCTTATAAAGTTATGCATAGGGTCACAGGGTATAAAGAGGGTCGCCAATCTCGACTTTAGTCGCACAACGGTAACCCTGCCCATCTGCTTCTGACTAAATCCGTCTCAGATAATTTTGAGGCGCTCTTGAAATGGCCGACTTTCTAACTTGGTAGTTGGATCTCTCCAAATTTTAGACATTTTCTTCTTTCCAAACTCAAGTTCGAGGATGGAGACTATCGTACCACTCTTTCTAGTATCTCAAACAGAAAATAATTTTTTCTATAAAACTGTAGAGAGAAAATCTTCAATTCCCATAGAACTCAAGGACGACATACACCATTCCAAATTAGTTTGAATTTACACATAAAAAGGAAAATACAACGTAACAAAAGCAGGACAGAAAAGTCGCACAAAGCTTAAGAAGGATCGCAAATCTCGAATTCCGTTTCAGATAATTTTGAGACGTTCTTGAAATGTCCGACTTTCTAACTTGCTAGTTGGATCTCTCGGAAACTCATGATGAAAGTAAACTATTTAATCCAAATTTTAAAAATTTTCTTCTTTCCAAACTCAAGTTAGTATCTCCAACACAAATTTAAAGATAAAGAAATATGCAATATCGGTGCAAAATATTATTACCAAGCCTAGATCATGTCTAAAAATTGAGTCTATCGGGTTCACTTATTCAGCATATGCAATTTTTAATGAGTTTGAGCACGATTTTTAACCGAACAGGCTGTAAGTTTAGTTATTGTGTGTGTTCCACTATTTCATGGTCCAATAAAATTCAACAAATTCAATGCTAATTTGTACATTCAAATTTCTTTAAAAATCAAGACTTTTATATGGAGACAATGTCATTGTAAATTGGTCACTAAGATTGGAAAACTAGGATAAGAATTTTATCTAATATCGAATTGTATCTATTATCGAGCTTGACCTCTATAAAGATATATTTACAAACATTGACAAATTTCTGGGGGAAGTACATTGTTTTCCTATAAAGAAAATGTTCAACGCAGATGTATTCCAGTTTCTAAAATCACAATATGCAAAAAAGAGCCTTTTCGTTTGTAAAATGCGACTAAAAACCTTAAGATCGTTTATATTACCAGCAAACGTTACGTTGGGCGCCACTATGACAAATTCTCCCAAAACAAATTCTAAAAGATATATCATTTTAATGCTTCTACAGATATAAAGTGCATGATTGCCGATCACTGGAATATCCGGATCGCAAAATTCGAACACAAGTATAAGATATACATGTCTGACGGGCCTAGGATTTTTTTTGGAATATCGCACATTTTTACCAAAAACCAGGTTGGAAAATAAATAAGATCTTGACTGTATGATAAGTGCATACGATAGCTAGGTAGGCCCAAAATAACGTGTTAAAATTTGAAACGGAACGCATTCAAAAGAGTTTTTGGGATTTCATTTGAAATTTTTAATGGACGTTATTGAATTAGTGTAGAGTAACTCGTGTAATGTGGGCCGCCATTTTCTTTTTTTGATATTGTGGGCGTAACAATGGTAAAAAATAAAAACAAATAGTATATTTGTTGGCTAAATATATTCCAGGTCAAAAATTATATATATATATATTTGTCTATAAAAATTTTTTTGCGTTATATTTCAAAAAACTCTAAGCTGCAAATAAAAATAATATGGCAGGTAATGTGGACCAGTATGTGTGGGTATCAGCAAGTTAAAGGTAGGTTGTGGTTTGGTTGTGATAAATTTCAATTTATTGTACTCTTGGGTAACAATGAATGCAAAAATAAGGGTACCGCCTCATTTGCGGTATTTTGAAGGTGCTTGCTTCATTATCCAACCGAAGCACCTGTAATTTCGCATATCGAGTTTTCAGAGGATAGAATACCTACTCGCATATTAAATGCGTCCATGTTTCGAACTCGTCCTCATAAAAAGTTCCCAAATTTTATAGTGGTCCACATTACCCGACATTGAATATTTTTATTTAAAAATAATTATCGGCTTCAAAAATGAATAAAAATTAAAAATCGCCGATTATAATTACTGCTAAACGTATATTTTTGTTAAAGAAAACAAGAAAACCACATAACTTCATTATATTCGACAAAAAACAAGTGTTCGACTATTTTGCAAAAACGTTCGACTATTGTGCTAAAAAAATTTCAAATCACACTTTTACAATCAGAGCTACATTTTCTACTACTAATTTTTTTCACTAATTAGGAAAACATTTATCAAGGCGGCATTGACATATTTCAAGCATTTTCTTAAATATGGGGGTGGTCCACATTACCCGAAGTTACTCTATGTTTTAATTTTTTCAAAACGAGAAGTGGGAGAGACGACCATTAATCAATGTAATCCAAGAAATTGCAGGCAATTGTGGTCTGAGGTTTTATACAAACATGATATCTGGGAATATTTTTAAAGAAATTCAATTTCAACGCTTGCAGGATATCTTAAAGGGGAAACACATAAGAGGACTTCAGGCTTGACATGCTAAGTTGGCTTTTTTTCATTGTAAAATAATAAGGTATTATTTTCCTTTATAAATTTGCATTTCATACAAAGCCAACATAATAGGCCAGGCTTGAATCCTCGTATGTGTTTCCCCCTTTACATTATGAATACTGTCAGAGTCGGTCAAGAATATTTTAACAAAAGTCGGATCCTTTTTGGCAGAAAACGTGGCGTACCATTTCATGATTTCTGTACACAAAAAATTGCTAGACAGGACTGGTCTGGAAACTGATATATGAGCTCTGAGCGGAATTTAAAAGAAATTTCAGGTCAAGGACAATCCGGATTATGGAGATGGATTTTGAAATGGAGAGGATTTTGAAATGTGCCTAGAAAAAAAATAAATGAATTGAACGGTTTTATTAAGACTTCATACATATTCTACATTAACGTTGGGCGCCATTATATTCGGAATATGACTTATCTATCGCAAATAATGTACAGACACCGTAGATTAAACTGTATAATTATTATTATGACATATCCTTGAACCTTACCCTCACTGCAGATAAATGGAACTTGTGTACAAATTTCCAGCATCCTTAGTTTAATTAGTAGAAGTTTTAGAATACCATAAGCATTCCATCTTTCGTTCTGCAGCCGAGCAAGTGACATCATGACAAAGACTTCGAAAATTAACTATTAATTCTTTACTAATCAATTCCAGATGCTTGAATGTGATAAAACTAACCATGGAATGTCGATCAATTAGTTAATCGGAATTTTATCGAAACTCAATTAATGGGAGTGAACTGAAAATTGACTGATGATAGGTAGAGTGACGTAATATTTTATGGGAATAATTTAAATTAGAATTCTATATGCGGAAGAAAATAAAACTCTGTATGATGACACATACATTCCGACAAAGAAATTTTCAATGCATTTATAACTTCAAATGCAAATCACAACTATCATGACTTGATAAAAATAAAATCATTTAAAACGAATTTGGATAAAATCAGATACTCCACCTTCTTCAAAAAATGGTTAACATTTTGATATTATCAGTTTCAAAGAAGTTGGGCGCCATTTTCTAGAATTGATGTGGGTTTTGAGAAAAATGTTAGTATATGCAAATTTTGGTTTAACTAGGACTCCATTGGCATCATACAAGCTTT